GAGACCGCCCGCAACACTTAAATACGCGTGAGCAGCCGAGGCGTAGGAGCCAGGATCAAACGCGTGGGAGAGGCGAAGCGGCGTGGAGCGTGGGAGGCCCTTACACAACGCTCCGCGTGCACCTCACCTTGTTGGTACTGCTCGGTGCGCGATTAGCGGTGACATGCTAACGGGCTAAAGGCTAAGCATTCCGATGGAGGGAAATTAGCTGGATTAGCTAGTTTCTGTCTGGTCGCCGAGGGGAGCCCCCAGCCCGTTTCCCAGCATGCACCTCTCAGAAGCAGGAAAATTACAGGCCCATCACGGAGAGGCGGTATGTCTCTTCATTAGCCGGCTGACACGTAATAAAGCGATGTATTTGTCTGGTGAGGTCGGTGTTTTTACTGCCTAATGAAACGGTATCGCCGCCTGTCAGGGGTACTAACGGCAACGCTAACGAGACAGATGACGTCTACCCCCCAACCTAAAGTGCACTTAGTGGAGGGGAGGGAAGGGGGAGGGAAGGGAGAACGGGAGCATGTGGGGGAGGAAGCCCTGAACAAAATGCTGAACCCCCCACACACATGAGCACGGGACCTGTCCATTGCCCCCCCCCCCAACTCACCTTAACATTGTCAGGGCAGTTGTTGGAGCACAGGCCGCTGAGCACTGAAGGGGGGAGGAGGAAGAAGAGGAGAAGGACGAGGAAGACAGGGGAAGAGAACAACATCGTTAGGCCCCTTCACGGGGAAAACAGAGCGCCATGGGGACACACGAGTCATGCACGGGAGGGTGACGGAGAGCGCCGCCCCTGAGGCCGTGCCGGCAGCGCGTGAAACTCGCCGGCAGATGGAAGGAGGCCCGGAGGCGTTCTGGGCAGGCGATTCTCTGCGAGCGAGGAAACAAGGCGCGGGGGGAGGAAAAACAAAATAATAACATCCCAAATTTCAAACAGCTCGCTTTATTACCACGCTCCAAGTCCTTTGCAGGAAAAAAGAAATGCACACAGCTTCTGAAAAGCAAAAAAAAAAAAAACTACTTTCAAGAAAATCTGGATGAGAACCAAAGATGTAAAATTAAATATCAAAAACAGTACCCTCCCTCCCTCCCCCACACTGAGCACAGTACATACACATACACACACAGGAAGGAGAACTGATGGTGAAGGTGAAGAAAGCGGGTTTGACCTGATGGGGCGGGGTGTGTGAGACAGACAGCCTGACCTCTGACCTTGGGAGATGGCCCCTCCCCCAGCACTCCATTCCTCTAGGGTCACTGACAGCGTAACGCCCTGGATGTGGCACAGCGACTGTGTCTAGCGCAGGTTTACAGAGCAACAGAGTGTTACGCGGCAGTCCCAGAAATGGTACAGATTCGAGAAAAAACCAACAGTGAACCAGCACCATTACAGCAGATATCATCAACAAACAAGGAGGCTTTTTGGGAACAGAGGACTCAGGTAAACAGTCTGCAGTGTTATTAATATCAGACCAGAAAGACAGCATCTCTGATCACACGGCAAAGCCGGCCGCTTCCATCTCCGCCACACGGAACCGCCGGCACGTAGCACGGAGAGATAATTAATCCTTAATCAGCAGCGAGAGGAATTACCATTTGCATACTGATTGGCTCCTTTAAGACTGTCAGTTGACGATGAGCTGATGGTTGTGACAGTAATGAGGTTTCTAGACTTTTTGCAGTCACAGACATGGGCACACAGTCAAGGGGTGCGTGTGCAGTACAGACCGTGGATAGACGGCCTCCTTGCGTTTTGGAACAGCGGGAAAACAGCCCAGAATCACCAGCAGCCCGCCCACGCGGCCCAGTCGGACCCGTCCCCGGGACCGTGCTGATCTTTTGCTGAAGAACCACTTCCTTTACAGGTGCGTCGGCGGCGCTGAGCTCCAGCAAGCTGTGCAGATGTATAAATGAGTGCAACAGCAAGACTCTTTGCATACAGCGGCCCAATAAGCTAATAAATCATACGTTGGGAAATAGAGACGTGGGCATCAGTGAGTCTGCCCCGTCAGCTCCTTCGATTTCCCTTCACGCGTAGATGGATTCCCTCCGAGATGGAGTCCACTGTGAACTCGGCACTGAGTCCGTTGGTCAGACGTGGAGGTGGCCAGGGTGGACCGCTGTCCTTCACGGCTGATAGATGGGAAGATGACAGATGCTGTGTGTGTGTGTGTGTGTGTGTTTACATGCCTAGCTAGGGCCTAATGGCTTTTACATGATGGTATGTTTTGGATTTGCCTAAACATTTAATCATTACTAAAAGTCTAAGTAACAAAAATTGGACCCAAACTCAGACAGCATATGCTCTTTTTATTATAGATTGTACTACACCCAGGGTAGATCGATAATAAAAAGAAAGTAAGCCATCTGACTTCCCCATTTCCTCAGCCAGACGCCCTAATCAGTACCCCCAACCCCCCAGCGAGCTCTGAACTAGCAACCTTTCAGTCAGATCACGTTCCCATTTACCGTCCAATCACAGTGAGGCACTGCTGAGGGACGAGGTGCCTGGTATCACGTAGTGAGAGCATCGCTTGAGGCCGCTGCTCTTGCTGGTGAGAGTGCCCTCAGGGTAGGACAGGGACCATGCAGAGTACCCCGTGCCCCCTGTCCTGAGAGCCGGCACCACCCCAGTGATAATTCCTGTAATGACTTTAATTAAGCTGTGACGAGCACCCACGATAGTTAACCTCCAAGTGCTGTCAAACATGAACATGAGATTATAAAGCCTCAGAATTCAGCCCAGACTGAGTCTGAACCAAGACCTTAGTCCACATCTCCACATCTAAGGCCAGAGTCCTATCCCAGACCCTAGTCCACATCTAAGACCAGAGTCCTATCTCAGACCCTAGTCCACATCTAAGGCCGGAGTCCTATCCCAGACCCTAGTCCACATCAAAGGCCAGAGTCCTATCCCAGACCCTAGTCCACATCTAAGGCCGGAGTCCTATCCCAGACCCTAGTCCACATCTAAGGCCGGAGTCCTATCCCAGACCCTAGCCCATATCTAAGGCCAGAGTTTGACCCCAAAATTAAGACCACAAATGATGGCATATTCCCATGCTCAGCATGTGCACTGGATACACAGATCTCTGTGCATAGTTTCCTGCAGGGCCCTGGACAGTGCAGGAAGTCCAAATTCTGGTTCGGCTAATCCTCCTGACCATAGACAGCAGTCCTGACCTTGGTCTGCAGTGCAGCCTGGACTCCAGCTTAAAGGAAGATCAGAGCAACTGCATTCAGAAGGCCACGGAAACTTCCTTCGGCTGTCACAGACAGTTGAGTCGGGCTGCCTACACAGCTACTCTGTGGTGAATACTAACAACTGTGTGCACGCAGAGGCTCGCACGAACGCAACCAGACGCTGTCAGGTGTAGTGTACGTGCACGCATACACAGGAGATACACGGTCGCACAGAGAGACAGACAGGCCTGCCCCAAACGCACGGTCCCTGTGAGTCAAAGCTCTTGCAGACAGATGGGCTCTGGAGTGACGACGGCAGTCAGCCACAGGCTGTACAGAGAGACAGTCTGTCACACACACGTCACCATCACTGGAGCCCTGGGATGAGGCATGGAGTCACCCACACTCCGCGCTGCGCGTCACAGAGCCGCAAACAGGGGGTGTGGCACGTGTCACCAATCGGGTCTGAAACAGGACAATGCTGTGTTCACAGGCTGGGACGGAGAATTAAGCAGCCTGCTCTCTATCGGAGCACTCCAGCGTCGACAAGAGGAGATCATGTGCTGAAATGGCCTACTCCAAGACGGGAGGACTGCAGGATAACTGGCAACGGGGGGGGGGGGGCGGTGAGCTCTAGGAGCCAGAGGGTCTTTTCTTACGCAGGTTACATCTAAAATCCCACCAGAATCGGTGCTACACTACCGTCCTGGCAGGCTTGGTCGAGTAGGTGGGTGGAAAGTTCCAGAATGTCAGGAGGGCACCTCAGCACGGTATTGTTTATTCATTTATTTATTGAGGCTCCGACCAAAATCGAGCAGAAATGACTCGGACGTCGGTTACTGTTCTGTTGGCTTGGCGGACGCCCCGTATGGGAGGACCGTGGGCGTGACACATCACATGGACCGGCACGCGGAGGAAGGAGATGGAAACGCCACACCGTCATTCTCGCGGGCGTCCGGGGAGTGGACCGACCTCAGGTCAGCTCGTCTAGCCGTTTATATTTATTAAAGCTTCACTTCAGAGAGAACAGCATGCTATTCTCAGCTGCCCTATAAAAATACCTTCTTCTTCCTTTGGATGTTTACCCATTTTCCACACTGAATTTTCTGTTGGTCCTTCTGCTACACAGATAAAAAGTCAGAAAGGAAAAAAAGCCGATTTGCTTCTTTCATTTCTGTGCCGGCGGTAATCAAACGTGCGGCCGTCAAGTGCCAGAAAGTTGGTGGCACAAATCCATGTCTGATAAGCTCTGCGGACAGGTTTGCCTGGACGGCAGCCAGTGGCGGGGGGGCTGCTCGTGTCTGTACTATGTCCAGTCTGGACTGGCTGCTGGCACGGCGCGCCTCTGCCGTGTCTGGATGGGTCCGCATCCCCACTGGAGCCTCGATATGCGGCTCTGGGCTGTGCGGGGGCTAATGGCGGCTCATCGCTGGGCAACCCCGAGGAGTGATAATCTGGTCACTCCGAAGTGCCCCCCCCCCCACTCTCTTTGGGCTCCCTGGGACGCAGAAAACAGGTCTCTATGCTGCGACCCATATCAGATAATCTGCAACCCCTGAAAGGAGAGAAATGAAGATAGGGAAGAGAGGGGGGCAACATCATCTAAGTCGCCCCAAATCGGGGGCCCCCCGCCCCTGGGGATGATGCACTACCCAAGCCAAGCAGTGTAGCCCGTGGCGGCAGCTCACTGATTAGTGTTGCTGGCTTCCAAACAGGAAGTCTCAAGGTCTATCCCGCAATTCCATTATTATGCTATTATTGAGAATTAAGATTATTACTTGTAAGTCACTTTGGAGAAAAGCATCCGCTAAAAAAATGCGATGGCAACAGTCAGACGCAGCACATTTAGCTTGTTTACAAAACAGGGACTTTAGCCAAAGTATGGCACCTCTTATTCATCATCGCCCCAGTTCCTCAGCCGCTACGCCCCCTGCTGCCTGGAGGTTATCAGTGCTGAGCCACTGTCTGAGGAGGAACAGCAACTGACAGATTTCCGTCCTGTGTTACCATAACCTAAACGACCTGCAGTGACCATGACAGGGTCAGGATGGAGAGCCGGGTGTGATGATGTTCTGCTGGCATCCATGCACACAGGAATGCATCCCAGCACGCATTGCGGGCAAGCTGAGAAACCAAAGTCCACGCCCTCCGCCCCGGCCTGCCGTTCCCAACCACGGCATCTGGGAGCTGCTTAATAGATGAGGCCCTTTGAAAGGTGATAATTTCGTCAAAGTCAGATGACGGAAGCGGCGTGGCGAGCCGGAGAGAGGGCGCTGTGGACGGCAGCGGGTCTGCAGATGTTCCTCAATCGTGGGTAATTAGAATCCGCATAACGGAGAAGGAGAACAATCGGCGCCATTGGGCGCCCGGCTCTGCCTGGGATGTGTGCTCTCCATTGGCAGCACACTCAGCCAAGCCGCTAAACGTGCCTGATTGCTGACAGGGATTCTCTTGTCTGTTCCCTCCCCCCAAGCCCTCACATGCAGAGGGACACGTGCGGTGTACTGGCAGGAAACCCAGCTCGGTGAATGTAGCTTTGCTTTAACCATTATCCTCTACTTCTGAAACTTCCACCTCCAGTAACCATCAGGCCTATATTAATGCCAAGATAATTGGCTCAAAAATATCTCACCGCCCATTGGATGGACCACATTTCTGCCTGTCCACCTGGTTAGTTAATAAATGCGATAGGAGCAGATCAGACAGCGGATTCTTTTCTGGATTCCAGACGCTGGATACAGGAAGCTGGGGCTGAGGCCCCCAGGAAGGGCCACAGAACTGCCATTAAGTGGCAATCAGTAAAGGGGGCAGCACACGCATGATTGTGTTTTATTTCTGCATCTTCTCGTCTTGGGGTTTCCTTTGAGCATTAAGCCCGACCCCCATGGCAAACGAGGCTGCTCCTTGCTACCGCGCCCCCCCCCCACCATCACTGTGCCGAAGGCTGGTTCACATGACCTGCCAGGGGTCAGCCAGAGATGTGGAATCAGCAGCAGCCCTTCAAGTGTTAGGATGAGCTCAACGTGAGGGTGTCTGTGATGGCGTGATATAGCCACCTTTTTATAATGCAAGAGGACACACACACACACACACACACACACACACACACATACACAATCATAGACACACACACCGAGACACAATGACATACACACCTACACATACATACACAGACGCATGCAGACACACACAGACACGCAGCCACATGCACACGCACGCGCACACACACACACAAGCACTCACACACAAACAAACACTATTCACATACATGCTAGGGCGATATGGTGATATGGACCAAATACAATATCGTGATCATTTTTCTGATGCACGGTATTTTCTACGAAGTGCCCTAAATGTCCAGTTTTTAATTGAAACCACAGGTGAGATGTAACAATGTCTCCTCACCTTTCCCCTCAAATTCCCTGTGAAACACTAACTGCATGCTTTGACTTTAGCTAAGAATACTAGGATCTGTGCATCATCACGGCTACAGCTGTCACGGTACTTACAGCCAAGAAGGAATTCTATTGGTCTATATTCATGATCTTTAGTAGACACCTGATTTTAACGCACAATAAAAGTGTATCGATATAAACATTACTGTGTCACCCTATAACTTGTTTTGGAAATTATATTGATATACCACAAACATTCAATATACCGGCCTGCTCTAAAACATACACACACATGTACTCTACAGCCTAGCCCCCAGGCATGGGAAGGGAGCCCCCCACACACACACACACACACTCCTGTGTGCTGAACTGCTCCCCAGTAAATTTCCTCTTTATTACATCTATTAGTTAAAATGTCAGTTTGAGTTAACAAAATAAAAAAAAACAAGCAGCCCTGGTCAGGTTTACGGCTAACAGAGAATAGCCTGATCACAGGAGAGGGTGTGTCCCAAGATCTCGGGGGGGGGATTAGTCATCCTTCGATGGGTCTCCCCGCATCCCCAACATCTCATGAAACGTTCATCCTGGGAAGGGCTCGGAGGTGAAGTCAATACCGCGGTATTCTCCTCCATAAATGCTCTGGGGACAGGCTGCACAGTGGTGACTGACACCCGGAACGTCATTATGCAGAAATCCCTGGGTGTTTTTTACAGAGTTCAACATGTCACCTTGCTATTAGAAATAAATAAAGTCAATATATGAGACTTTTAAGCTCTTGTGGAATGGGGGGGGCGGGGAGATTTTTCTTTTCTGGGGGGGTGAGGAAAAGGACAAGGTCTTTCTGAGGTGCGGGGGTGGCCTCTGGCCTCCTTACTCCTCAGCAACGCTGAAAACTGCACAGCAGGTCACACAGAGACATAAATACACACCAATGCTCATGTGTGCATGCGCAGAGCACGCATACAGGCACATGTCTGCGCAGAGCATGCATACAGGCACATGTCTGCGCAAAGCATGCATACAGGCACATGTCTGCGCAGAGCATGCATACAGGCACATGTCTGCGCAGAGCATGCATACAGGCACATGTCTGCGCAAAGCATGCATACAGGCACATGTCTGCGCAGAGCATGCATACAGGCACATGTCTGCGCAGAGCACACATACAGGCACATGTCTGCACAGAGCATGCATACAGGCACAAAGGCTCCATTTCCAGTGCATCACAAAATCTCCATCACAGAGCCTGCTGTTGAATGGCAAACTCCACAAGATCTTCATCTACATGATAATACCATCTCCCTGCCTCCAGGCAGCAGGATCTTCATGAGGAGCAGCTGAGGAAACCATTGTGAGAAGATGACGGTCACAGCTCTGATCACTGACCAATATGAGGGAAGCGAAGTTGCGGGGGGGCTGGGTGGTGGACATCTTTTATTAAAGGCTAGGAGCAGCCCAAGAGCCTGTAATGGACCAGAGTCACCCCAGGAGTCCCTGATGGGATAGAATCACCCGGCGAGTCTCCGATGGGCCAGAGTCACCCCAGGAGTCCCTGAGGGGATAGAATCACCCGGCGAGTCTCCGATGGACCAGAGTCACCCCGGGAGTCCCCGATGGGTCTGAGTCACCCTGGGAGTCCCTAATGGACCAGAGTCACCCTGAGAGCCCGTAATGGACCAGAGTCACCCCAGGAGTCCCTGAGGGGCCAGAGTTGCCCTGGGAGTCCCCGATGGGCCAGAGTCATCCTGGGAGTCCATTATGGACCAGAGTCACCCTGAGAGCCCGTAATGGACCAGAGTCACCCCAGGAGTCCCTGAGGGGCCAGAGTCACCCCGGGAGTCCCCGATGGGCCAGAGTCACCCCGGGAGTCCCCGATGGGCCAGAGTCACCCCGGGAGTCCTCGATGGGCCTGAGTTGCCCTGGGAGTCCCCGATGGGCCAGAGTCATCCTGGGAGTCCNGGGAGTCCTCGATGGGCCTGAGTTGCCCTGGGAGTCCCCGATGGGCCAGAGTCATCCTGGGAGTCCATTATGGACCAGAGTCACCCCAAGAGCCTGTAATGGGCCAGAGTTACCCCAGGAGTCCGTAATGGACCAGAGTCACCCCAGGAGTCCCTGAGGGGCCAGAGTCATCTTTGGAGTTCCCGATGGGCCAGAGTCACCCCAGAATATAGCAGAACATGGCACTTCATCTGAACTGCTTCTGGAAAATTAACTACTGTACGCAATGACACACTGCAGATGGGCATAGTGAGGTAATTATTATTACCAGCTATACTATTACTGTTCATATAATTATAATTATAAATAAAAATTATAATTGTGCTGTACCGAAAATGAACAGCATTATGAAAATTATGTTTATTTGTGAATCCTGTCCAGGGCGTAACCCTGCCTTGTGTCCTTTGTGGTTTGGGAAAGGCTCCAAGTCCCCCAAGACCCCAATTAGGATGAGAGGTTAGAAGGACGGGTAGATGAATGGATATTTATTTTTTTCCCCATTATCGGCAGAAGTAGGCACAGTGGTTGATTTAAACATTTATACCTGTGTGGAACCTCAAAAAGGACAAGCAAAATAAAAATATAAAAATGAACAGCAGGTGGCATAGTGGTTAGGGTCGCAGGCTCACAACGCTTGGTTATTTTAAACAGCTGCAGCTAACCTGGATTACCCAGAAAAATATGGGATGAGAGAGATAAAGAGAGAAAGAGAAGGTCACCAACTCACCGATGACTTTAACAAAGTAGGCGTCGGCCTCAAAGTTGTTTTTGAGAGCAGAGATGGTGAGCTCGCCTTTGTCTTCCTCTCGGCTGAGCACAATCATGTCTAATATTCCCTGCAAATGGGAAATCAGAATAAATCTGCACCATAAGGAGATGAGCACGACGCTTTTACCCCACCCCCCAGCCTTTCCCCCAGAAAAGGCCATTAAATCTTTCTAATGGACTAAAAAAAGATCTTTTCATTAGAGCGCCAATACATAATTGTGACAGACTTTCATATGGTTATTAGCAGAACTACCAGAACTATAAGGGGGGGGGGATGAAGAACTCAAACTTCACTCTACTAGGGACAGATCACTCTTTCAGGTAAATAAGCAGTGAGGTTGATATCTGCGGGCCGTCCACAATCCACATAGGGGCATGAACAGAGGCGGGGCAACAGGGGCCCCAGCTGAAAGCTGACTGGCCCCCGGTGTGCCCCTTCCCCTGTCAGTCACCAATTAAAATCATATCTTTGGCTCCAGGTGAGTTTGGCTCCTGTGTATGAATTACAGCTCCTATGATGTCCCTCACCTTAACAAAATCCTAGAATCACCCCAGCAGATTGCCCGGGGGGGGAGTGGGGGTTGACGATTACCTCACACTGCCACAGCTGTGCCACTCAGCAGGAAACGCCCTGCCGCTAACAGCCAATCTAGCTGATATTTGTGCTGACCCTCCCTAACCCACTGCTTTCTGACATAGATCCCCTGGTGCAGAAAGTACCAGAAAGCAGCCAAAGCTTTGAGCCCTGAGTGGCCAGTGCGCTCTCATTAATTAAGGCGCCGCTTGTCTGATTACGGCCCCCCTGTTAAGGCGTATGGAGCAGCCCTTCATCAGGCTGCCAGAGCGTGCGGGCCGCAGCTACTCAGGGGCACGGCAGAAGGGGGCGCCACTCACATCCTCGTAGATGTCGAAGAAGGTTGCCACAGCGGCGGCCCCGCCCACAGCGCCAAGGTCCGAGTGGATCCGGAAGGCCCGACCCGCGGCCCGGCAGCTGGCATTATCGCATGGCACGTTCTCCAGGAGGAAGGCCTGCTGGGTCCTGAGACTGGGGGACAAAGGGACACGTCATGAACAGAGAAAGGCGGGGAGCAAAGACCATTGAGCGAGAAAGACCCCTGCCAGCTGGGTCCAGAGACGGAGGGAGAATGGGACACGTCATGAACACAGAAGGGCGGGGAGTAAAGACCATCGAGCGAAAAAGACCCCCGCCTGCTGGGTCCTGAGACGGGGAGAGAATGGGACACGTCATGAACAGAGAAAGGCGGGGAGCAAAGACCAACACGTGAGAAAGATCCCACTCCTGCTGGGATATGAAACGGGGGACACATAGTGAACACAGACAGGCGAGGAGAGTAGACCAGCACAGGAGAATGACCTCCCTCCTGCTGGGGCATGAAACGGGGGAAGGGAGGGAGGGACACATCATGAACACAGAAAGGCAAGAGCAACACAAAGACCCCTGATATCACGAGGAATCTGACCAGGAATGCAGGCCATCACTTACAATAAAGACCTAGCAGCTGGATATTGCCTCAGTGCTATTAAACGCAGATTAATATAATTTCCCCCTTAGTCTCCAGCTCCCTAACCATCACTCTGCAGTAAAACAGACCCCGTCGGGTTACAGGAAGCGGATCTGCAAAGACGGCCCATTCCAGAACACGAGAGGCATGCTCCTGGCCATTTGTTCTCCCATGTCCCCCTCCTGCCGGCTCCATTCCCGACTAGAGGAAATCATGGCCACCTCTTCAGATCCTGCACTGCTCTGATTAAAGCCCCAGCACCGAATTAGAAACAGCATGAAGCATCCGCATTCTCACCACACCGCACACGCCAGGCATGGGGGAGGGGGGGGGGGGGTGCTGGAAGGTGAAAGAGAAGATTGCAGAAGAAAAGCCCATCATACCACCCCTCCCAATTCACCCCGGGCACCTGTGGCCTTCAGAAGCTGTTGACCTGAAATTGAATTGCCCGGGAAGGTCGCGTCAGGATCACTGCGGGGGGGGCGCCACTCTGGGGCGGCTCACAGCCCTGGGCCCCAGCAGCTGAGGGTACGAGCACGTTGAGGACATCGCGATGGACTGGACCACAGCTGGATGGGCTCACAAGCTACCTTCTCCGTTTGCAAGCACGTGCCGGGGGGTGGGGGGGGACGCTGCTCCTGCCTACCCCCCCTCTGGTTGTTTCTGACAGTGTCTGATGGCTCGGTGCTTCAGCAATGACCCCCGGAGTGGTTAGACGGCCACGGACGGAAGCCGTGAATGTGACTCCCTTCCGTCCGTCTCGAGGTGAGGACGTGTCTCCGGGGTAGGGGGGGGGGCGTGGGCCGAGAGGTTAAATGCGTGCGTGAACGTAGTAAAGGCGTGGCATGCAAAAAAAGCTTGGCATGTGCACACAGACACACACACATGGGTACAATTACCTACACGCACACGCACACACACACACACACACACACACACCCCCGGGCCGAGGGTGCTCTCACAGGAAGCCGTAAACAGCGCCCCCTGCAGTTTACCCCTAGGGGAGCCTGCAGCATCTTGTTATTAATACTGGAAGCACGGCGGAGGTGTACGTGTGTCCGATGGGATCTAACCACGGCGGCATTATTACGGCCCATTCTGTCTCCTCTTTCTCTCTCCCTCTGTTTCTTATTCCTCTTCTCTCTCTCGTTCTCTCTCTGCTGGTTGAAGCCACAACTATGTCCTGCTGTGTCAACGCAGTCAGGGGCTGGACGCTAATTGGCCACTTTAGACCCCAGACCTCAGTGACCTGGGCGGGGGTGGGCATTCACCGGTACGCTGGGGAGGCGGACACGGCGCTGGGGCAGTTCAGCCCGCTCGAGCTGCCTCTGACGATAGGCTCCACAAGCGGACTGTAAATGAAGGGAGGCGCAGAGAACCCCGGCATCCCCTCATGGAAGAGTGCGAATGCTTGAAATCAGAAACGTCTATCCCTCCGCTGAAGGCCTGGACAATCAGATACAGATGATGGCCGGCACCCAGTGGTTGGTGCCTCTTGGAAATCAGAGCAGGAACACGTCTGAGGATAGGAGGTATTTCTGGGTGGTGAGAGCGGTGGGGAGGCAGGGCCAGGGCAAGCTCCTCGCAGATGTGCGTCTACAGTTGGCCTGGCAACTCCATACGGCTAGGAAAATAGCGGGAAGTGTGCCAATCCCTGAGAAAAGGAGGCTGTTGCCGGCTACGCACGCACACACACGCGAGTAGACGGATGCATGTGCCGCGAGACGCATCGCCTAGCAACGGCGCTCTACCTCACTGAGGTTTCAAGACGGGCAAACAAACACGGCGCAGAGGGTAGCCGCCGGGGTCCTGGAAGAGGAGGCCTGCCAGACAGGAAGGACAAGGTTATTCCAGGCTGTGGGTTTGGTAAACCAGACTGGGCGGGGTGGGGGGAACTTACACCCAGGTTACTCTGATATTAGGCCCTAATTAATGAACCTTTATTCACTAAACGAAATGGCTCTCGGGTAGTAAAGGAGTAAAGATGTCCTCCGCTCCATGAGGGGGCGCTGTCTGCTCCAACCTCTGTTTAATTCCCACTTCTCCCTTTCTCTTCATTCCTGCCTTTTGAAACCTCAAGGCTCCTCAACGCACACCATAACTGGCTCCCTTGTGTAATCCCACTCTCCCCCTTTTGCATCCCTCCTTGCCTTTCAGCCACGTGACCGGGGCTCGTGCCTCCTGGGGACGACATTTATGCTCCTGAATCCCAGGGGATCCCAGGGGTCCGGGAGAGCAGGTGTCTCAGGATGGGAGGCAAGCATCTCCGTAAAAAGGAATGGGATAGATAATGGCTGACCTCCATCAGGAGATAGCAAATTGGGCAGCGGAGAGGAGCCGGAAGGGGGGAGTGCTTTTCACACCATCTGCAGGGAGCCCGCCTCTCTCATGCTAACTGGATCCATCCCCCCTCACTGGGAGGAGCCTAGCTGAGGCTGGCCAGCTCATTTGTTCCCCAGTCATTTCAGAAGCGACCCTGCTTTGCATGATGGGATAACTGAGAGCCCATTGTGTATATCATCAAAGCGACCGACATGCCAGATGAGGATGGGTGAGAGGATAGGATCGCCGCCATTAGCTGCACCCGTCGGTGCTCCTCCGAGAACACATGTGGTGGCTAAAGCATTAGCGAAGATTTTGATGTTCGGGGAGGAGGGATTTTGTTCGCAGCCGATGCCCGTCACCCTTGGTGGGGAAGGGGGTTCTGCGGCATACACCTGCCGCTGAGCCGGGACGGCTCTCCGCCACGCAGCCCGACAGCTTTCCGTGACAAGCTCTATTAGCGGTCGCTAATGGAAATCTGGAAGCTCCCACGATGTGCTAGGGGATGGGGGGGGGGGGGTGTAACGGCACGGTAACTATAACAACCGTAACACGTTTCACATGCAGTGGGCCCAGCGTGAGAGCAAGACTGGGAGAGAAAGGGAGATAAGACGAAAGGAGAGAAAGAAGGGAGGGAATCGACAGGTGCCGACAGAGTGGCCGTTTGCTCATTTTTATTTCAGATTTATAGTGGGGTGGGGGTGAGACAAGCTATGTCTCACAATTAACAAGGTCTCCACCCAAGGGGGGCGGAGGTATGGGGTCTAGCCCAGGAACCACAGGAGGCCCAGCTACCCTCAGCGATTCATGGATGCAGAAAAACGAACCCCCCTAATGCGCGCAAGCTTTTCCTCACGCGGTTTGCGCTTTTAAGCAGATGCATCCCAGCATGCCCTGCAGAGCCAGAAGGACCAAGTCTTAGTAAGCGTCGAATTTAGTACAATATTTGATACGTGTTAAAGTGGAGTTCAGTATCACTGCTATTCATATCAAATCGTTTGGGCAGATGCCCCGGTATCAAAATTTTAACAGAAAAGTAAAGCAGGCAGATCTGACCCATATATGAACGATTTCCCACCCAAAATTAGCTTGTTTATTTCTGCAGTGCAACCAGCAGTCACACAGTACAGGCTCTCAAAGTAAGTGGACAGAGAGAGATTACCACATCCCCACCATCGAGAAAATCTCTATCTGGGGTCAAGAGTGACTTTGATATACGAAACGGAAAGATCTGGATATTAGCTCTCATCAATCCAGCAGCGTGTTGGGAGAAGGGAGAGGATCTTTTTTACATTTAAATGTCCTTATCCAGGTTGCTGCGGTGAGGAATCGACAAAGAGAAAGCACCATTGCAGTGATTCACCAAAACAAAGCCTCTTGCTCCCCCTGGAAAAATGCTCAGAAGCTCAAGGTTGAAATGTGAGGATCCAGGTACTGCTCCTCTATTTAAGCACTGATGTAAGTGCTCGATTTATTATTACAAATAAGCACTTCATTTTAGATAGCTTAATTGAGCTGCCCAAAAACAAGCACCACAAGGACAGGGACCCTGTTTGCAGTTACGTGACAAATTGACCACGACACTTTTATTAAAGTGCACTGATCATTTATTTTTTGATTTGATCTTTTTGCTGGAGCTGCTGGAATCGAATTGCTCGTAACTAAATCCAAAGATGACGAGCGGGGATTAAAACCACGCGGCAAAGATGCGCTATGCTACCAGAGACAGGAGGTGGCAGGGCAGTTAAGGAGATGCGGCTGCGATTAACCCGAACGGCGAATCCCAGGAGAAGAATTACTGCTGTGCTGCAGTGACGAGCATTACAACTTTCGGGGAAAAAAATATCAATAAATAACTGTGTTCAGTTATGGAAGTTTCAACAAATTTTTCTGAAACAATAATTATAATAATAATAATGCCTCTCGCTAAATGTACAGATGGGGGGGTCGACAGAGAGGCCCCTAGAGGCGAATGATGGTATTGCAGCTGATACTGTACAGCAGTATTCTCTGAAGTGATGTGGAACAGCTGGCTATATGTCTGTTGGGAGGAAGGGTAGCAGAAGGTCCACCAAGGCATCACCCTTTCACCCGCATCTCAGCTCTTACTCGCAGGGGAAATTAGGCCCAGAGTGATTCTGGGAAGCCATCAAGGTGACCCCCAAACCTAAAGATGCGCGAGACTAAGCTCAGATAACCGTGGCTCAGTGACGCTGAGGATGAGATCTACTTAGATCACTCCAGATTAGAAGCAGCGGGACAGATCAGCTGCAGGGGGCATTTTTGATGGTTCATGGCGTCAAACACACTATGGGCCACACCAACAAAACGGGTACGTAACCATACTGGGGGTCTAAGTTAACCGGCATCCGGATAGATAGATGGACCAATGAGAGTCTTTTAGACATCATGTGGTTCAGCTTCACGCAACTCGAGAATGGGTACGTGATCCTTCCGAAGGGACGTAAACCCCCCCTCTACCGGTCTGCCTCTGACACAACCTCAGTGAATAACATGGCGAGAGCAGCTTTATGTGACACGACAAGGCAGTTTGGGGGTTCGAGGGGGCAGGAGGAACACAACAAACAGGCGGCATGGCTGAGGCCTTAAGGCTCACTGCTGTTGGGGGGGCGGGGGGTCTGTACTGTGCAAAATGAGCAGGGGCACGCGGGGGCGGGCATCTCAGTCCAGCCTGTCAGATTAATAACAGCCACCCTCATACCCCCCGCAGTCACAATGTTCTCCCGAGCCGACATGGGGTCAGTCCCAGCAAGACCATCAAGTAACTGCCAGACCCCAGATACAGACACCCTTTGCTTCTCATTGATAGACAGACAGAGAGACACAAATCCAGACCGACAGACAGAGAGTCAGTCAGATAGACAGACGGACAGAAAGTCAGACAGAGAAACAGACAGACAGACAGATTGAGACAGAGTGACAGAGAGCCAGACAGACAGACAGACAGACAGACAAATAGACAGACAGACAGAGACAAAGAGACAGACAGAGAGACAGTCAGACAGAAAGACAGAGAGAGACAGAGACAGACAGAGAGACAGACAGACAGAGACAAAGAGACAGACAGAGAGACAATCAGACAGAAAGACAGAGAGACAGAGAGTCAGTCAGACAGACAGACAGGGAGCAGTTTCCTTTATAGTAGCTTTCTATCAAAAGTCAGGTGGATCAGCGGGGAGTTTGGGGGCTGTTTTATGTTTTGGCTCTATTGAGACATGTTCCAGCCACGCGGTGTGTGTATGTGTGTGTGTGGGCATGTGTATACCCTGGAACACACCGTGTGGTGGGGGAGTGGGGGTGCACATGCCTGAGCTGCTGTGGACCAAAAACTACAACAGACCTTTATCTGGCTGAATATGCCCCCCCCCCCAACGAAACCCCCACCCCCGCAGCCTCACTATTCATCACGCCTTAGAAAATGTCACCGCAAACAAACCCCAAGCGAGAGCATGACCCCAGCGAGACTGTGGAATATCGACTTCAGAACAGAAAAAAATAAATAAACCAGCACAGGCGGATAAACAAGAAAATAAATTTAGGCGTGAGTGAGATGCTGTGTTTTTTAATGTGGGCTTCCACATGGCTACCCCGAGGGGGGGCTCACAGACTGACACGGGGGAGGACCCCCATGATGTTCAGTGTCGTGCAATGAGCAGTGTGTCACCCAGGAAACCAATAAAAATGGTAACAGCAAGAAAACAGGTCATGTGACCCATTCATAGTCACCACGACAAGACAGGAAGAGGAAGCGTAGATGGATCTGCTCACAGCCCATGTGGACATGGCGAGGATGACAAGGCCACAGCAAATGCCACCGAAGTGGGTGTCGTATTCACCCGTATACGAGGTCAACCCACAAAATGATGGGGGTTACAGCAAATGTGACTGAAGTGGGGAGCCATATTCACCCATATATGAGGTCACCTCACAAAAAGACTGGGTTACGGCAAACACAACCTAAGTAGGGTGCAGTATTCATCTGTATATGAGGTCACGGCAGAAAACTTCGAGATTACGGTAAATGTGGTCCGCGAAGAAGGGGGTGTGAATGTCCTGGTCGTGAGGTAAAAGACTCCGGCGACACGCCTCACACCCACAAACATCACTCTCCACAAGACCACTGAAAACAGAACATACTTACAGACATGCAAAATTAACTGAAGCATTTTAACATATTTAACAAACAGTGACAGACTAACGCCCAAGGAAAGCAGAAGGAATAGCATTAGTCTGTATTGTGGATGCTGGGATTGGCTTTTAGGTTTATCATCATTGGCCCTTGTTCTTTTATTCCCTCTCCTTTATATCCTAACTACAAATATTGTTTATAATATGCCGTATCATCTAATTCTGTGGTATTTAATCAAAGAAATTTCGAAGGACTTTGTACCAAGACTGTATTTTGTATCAAGACTGCGCTCTCCAACAAGACAACACTCTGCAGCAAGAAGGTACTCTATAGCAAGATAGTATTCTGCACCAAGACAGCACTCTGCAACAAGACAGTAAAGGCTAGTTCATACTTCTCCGCACAAACGCAACACTCGTGTATCCACTCTGCATATGTGTACACAGAAACGTTCATAGTTCTCCGGTCAAGCCGCGTACTTTGCACATGAATTGTATTTGTGTTGTATTTATCTTAATGATAATAATATCAATTATTATTCTGACATTCCCCGCACACACACCACAGCAGTGAGGTTTGTGTCACTTTCTCTATGTTTTACAAATTCAGAGACCCAGCACTTTGGTCAGCTGGCTGTTGTGAGATTCTCGATTCGAGACAAGTCTACACTCACACGCACACACAATTACATGTATGTAATAGTTTTATTACTTTGTAAATAGTCTGTAGGCGTTGCAAACTACCCCAATGCTCATCAAAAGTGAATTGATCATGCACAGTGTGTCCATAGCTGTGTGCATCCTGGTGCACAGACACAAATTTGGAGTGAATCAAGCATTTGTTTGCGGAGGTTCACAATAACGTCAAATGAGTCTGTTTTACGTGCCATAAGAGTTCTGGAGGTGTGTACAGGACACATCAGTCTTCAGTCCCAAGCTCCACTCGCCAGCTGCTGCTTCAGTCCGCCTCCCGGTTTCCAGCCACACCCTTCCGCCCTCTGACCTCTGACCTCTGACCCTGTGTTCCAGTCGACGAGGATACAGCCTGCTGATCGCATCTAGCTGGAGCTCTTGCTCATGCTCTGTCTTTTGCTCTTGCTGCGTTGGTTTGCTTTTTCTGATTGACTGCTTTGCTTTTTCAGTTTCTGACTTCACCACTTTTGTACCTTTGCCTTTGGTTTATTTATCTTCTGGTTTTGAACCCTCACTCAGCTCCTGACTGCTCTCTTTGCCCCTTCAGATACCGTGTGTTTGCTATATATGTCTGTTAGGTGAAGAAGGAATGGCTGCCTTTTTGTTTCTACTTGGTGTTTTGTTAGGGAGCTAGGAGCTAGTATTGCTTCGTTTGTGTTTTGTTATCTCACTTAGGATTAGTTTAGATTGGGGTTCGTACGGTAGCGGTGTTTTGTTTGTTATTTTGGCCTTTGTCACTCCCGAAGTCTGTTCCACCTACTGTCTGTGAAGTGTCTGTGAATAAAATACAAAAATACCAAAAAAAAGATCCCTTTGTGTCTTGTGTTCCCTTTTCCCATTCCCTGGTTGTCTCATCCTCCCCTAACCCTTTCCCTTTCCTTTCTGACGATCCCCAACCCTAGACTGGGGACCGTAATGTTTGAGCGTACATGTCCGCTAGTACGTGTGCGGAGAAGTATGAACCAGCCTTAATTTACACCAAGACAGGAATCTGCACGTAGCCAGTACTCTACAACAACACAGTAATCAAAAAGATAGTACTCCACAACAGTACTCTGCAGCATGACAGTACTCTACAACAAGACTGTACTCTGAAGCAAGACAGTACTCTGCTCTGAGACAGTACTCTGTACCAAGCACCTGCTGTGAGTCCTCTGAGTCTCCTTAACGTAAATTACAGTTCATTAGTATTGTTATTAGATATAGTGGATGACATTATATCTTTTAATTATCATTTAATCGTCATTTAACTGGCATTTCATTGGCCACACACTCGCAGTTTCCACACAGCGCGTGAATAGCGCTGCAATTTCACGCTAAAACAGAACTCATGAGCCGCAGCACACCTGGCGGCCCCTGCGAGGTGAACCTGCCGCTCCGAAGACGGAGACAGGGAGAACGGCATTAATACGACGAGGTGTTACTCGTAAATAAATAGGGCCAGTGTACATTAAGAGGGAGGTTGGGGAGGGGGTGGAAGAGTGGTGGAAGAGTTGGAGGAAGGAAGAGCTCACATCTTATGGCAAATATTTTCTAAGCACTTCAGGTGTGTGTGAAGACTGTCACTTGTGGGTAAGATAGCGAGAGCAGCAGGCAGTAGTGTACAAAGGGGTGGGGCCACAAGAGCACTGGCCCCAGTTGAAAGCTGATTGGCTCTCAGAGTGCCCCCTCCCCTGTCACTTGCTGATTCAATCCATATTACTGGCAAATGATAAGGTTGGCCCCTCTGTATCAATTATGGCACATGTAATGCACTTTAAAAATTCCAAGAATCCCCCCTGGCAACAGGCTGAGGGAGACACGTAGGGGCCTGTTCTGAAATCAGATTTAGCAACCTAGCAGGGTTCAAAGAAAGGTTAACGAGAGTCTTCCCGGTCTGAAGGGCACGATTCACGTTTACACTTAGATTGCAGCATGTACGCAGCTGAAGGAGGTAAAGCCCCTTCACGCTACTGACCTGGGACCAGTTCAAGGAGACTGACCACCTAGTTCCCCTCCCCCGCTGTTTGTCAATCGGCTGGTCGGGTCTTAAACTCTGGCTCTGGAGGTAGCGCCGGTGTCGTGCTACAAACTGCTGAGTGTGGTTAAGATGGGGGTAGGGAGGTGACCTCCACACAGCACCGGGGAGAGTTGGGGGCCTGCACATGGAACTGGACCGACACCTGAACCTTAACACAGTAACAAAAAGTAATGTGACGATATATTAATACGCAATAGTAGACTGCCGGGGGATTATCAGGGAGGAGGTGGGACTAGCTTGGCGAGAACTTGATGATCCTATATTGTTCTACACGTTTAGACAGGAAGTGAGAAGATGGTGGCCCGGGCCGCGGGTCGTGCACTCACCTTCCGCTGGTGTTCCTCAGGACAGCCAGGGCATCCGGGAAGCCATCCAGGTTGTAGTCCCCAAGGTGGAGGGTGATGGGGAACCGCAGCTCGCGCTTGGACTGGGGAGGGACGAAGCCCCACAGCGTATCCCTCCGCTGGAAATCCGTCAGGATGGGCAGCCACTGTGCGTATAAACAGGGAGGCCATGTTGATGTGTGAACGTATGCAGGTGTGGCAGCTCAGTCTACTACAATATGGGGAGCCGTGTGGCTCAGCGGGTTAGAACTCTATCCCTAAAATCAGAAGGGCATTGTTTCAAATCCTAAGGTCAGCAGAGTAATTTGACCACTGGGCCCTTGAGTAAGGCCCTTAAGCCCCAATTGGTCCAGACTGACCCTGCTTTCTCAAAAGTGCACATCACTTTAGATAAAAGTGTCTGCTAAATCAGTTAAATGTCAATCCATCCTTCACGATGCCTGAGTAATGATAATACTGCACATAATGGTTCTTTCAAATCCGGGCAGGATGGCTTAGCAGAAATCCCCAAAATCTTGACCTTAATGCAATCATTTCCTGCCTCCAGTCAGGCCTCGTAATGAGCCATACAGTGAGCAGATGTCTCACTCACAACAACAACTTTAACACTTTGGGCTGTAATGGCTTTTTTTCCACCAGCAGAGGCAGCACTGAGCACTGGGGGGGGGCTGTATAATACCGCCCAGTGGCTTTTCTACAAATTCATGAGATAAAAAATAGCTTTAAACAAACCACAAAGACGTCATTTTACAGTCACACAAAGCCGACGGCGGCCCGATCATCATGGACGGGGAAAAGAAACAGAGAAGGCCTTTGATGTGATTTTCTGAGCGGGGAGAAGACTGGCGTATTCTTACAGACTGCTCAGTCGCTCGCTCGCTCGCTCGCTCGCACGGACGACAGCTTTCCTTAATAAACACACACCGCCTCTCCCAAAGGTTCAACAGCTGCGTCGTCACGGGGACGCCAGCGACTGGCGATCAGTCTGCGAGCCGTTAAATGGGACGTCTGGCCAAAAAGGGAAGGGGGAGATGTCGTGGGGGGGGGGGGGGGGGGGGTGTTCTGCTGGTCCTTCAGCTGCTACGGAGCACCAACATCAAACCATGATCGAACACTGACCCCCCCACCATGCAGAAATGGTCCAGGAGAGCCATAGCTCAAGCTGCTGACGATCCTGTAAGTCAGTGGTGGGGGTCCTGAGGGGGGAGAACAATCATCACAGGTACAAGCCACGGGGTCGGAGGGTTCCTACGCCCTTCTGTTTGATGGCCCACAGTGGCGGTGAGTAGTGAATTTGGGATCGGTGTTCGGAAGGTCATCGGTTTGAATCCCTTGGTTGGTGTATCACCATTGGAACCCTTGAACTTTTAACTCCAACTTGTATTGACTGACTTTGTGTTCTGACCCAATGCCAGTCAACCCATCAGATGACAGGCAGCCACTGAAGCTCTGACCAGCGCCACTCTGACCCCAAAGCTTCCTCTCACCTATATTTATGGGTGTCTGTGTCTCTCACAGAGAGCAAGATGGGAAATAACAAAGCTGTCCGATCTCCCCACCATGAATAAGGTATCCTTGTTCTAATCAGACAAGGAAAAGTCGGCGGTATTCTGCAGTATTATACATCATTTGTCTAAAAAACAGCTCCTCCCATTTTTTGAAACCTGCATAATTTTATATTGCCATCGTATGGAAATAATTCCCCTATAACATCTTCACAAATGTTGTTTTTCAAACTGTTGTTGTTGCTTTCAATATTTTTCTTCTGCTCCTCCATGAATAATTAAAAAGTCTACTAGTTTTGGCTACAATTGGCGCCATTTTTCAGTGATTAGAGAATTATTCCTACATAATTAAAAGCTCTTGACTGGAAAGCTCCAAAGTGATATCAGATGATGATACAGCAGCTCTGAGCCCTAGTGCGTTTGAGCATCGTCTGCTGAGAGTGCGTTAGGGTTTTAAAAATATGACCAGAAATGGCGCTCTTTTGGCCACAGTCAGGCACACATTAATGATATTACGCAGCAGACTTGCAGATTTACAGTACTGCTGGCTCAAGGTGCGGGGGGGTGGGGTTTAGAAAACCTATTGAAATCGGGCAACTACATCCAAAACTCTACAAATCCGGTCGCATTTACACTGACGGAGGGGATTAGGGAGAGAACTGAGGGAGAAGAATTTGGGAACCCAGTGGAGGGCGTCTGTCTGACGGTTACACAGAATCAGCATCGCCTGCTCCCCCCCCCCCCCCCCCCCCCCCCACCGCAGAGGGGGTACGACCAGAGC